GCCGCGCGCCCGTCCATCCGATTATCCCCACGCCAACCTTCCTTTTCTTTTTGCCGTTCGAGCGAGACAAAACCAACACGTGACAAATCCCGAGCAGCTTTGCCACAGGATCCGAAAGGTGTTGGACACGTTTCTCTCCGCTGCACTGCATATATTCGCATAACGTACGTGCCGCGTGGAAATGATGCTACTTGCGCTTTGTGGGCTCGGCCTAACCTGCTTTTCTCATCACCGTGTGAATCCCACATATGACGTGACAAAGAAAGAAAATGAGTAGATTGTCAAAAAAACAAAAAAACGAGTTCGGTGTCATTTTTACCATCCTTTGTGGAACGCGTGCGTGTGGGTGTTTGATTTGTTTACGGAGATGAATGGATATTTCGAGATCAAAATCATGAATTTGGCACATATGTCGCGAGCGATATCAATTCCTCGGAGGGGTACGCGTATGGTGGCAATAACACGTAAACGTGGTATTTCTCAGAAAGTGGGTGGGGTTTGGGGAAGCTTGCCGAAGATGGCATCGACACGGTAGCAGGTGCGGTGGAAGATCATGTCGTTCCTCGACTTCCAGATAACCCTAAAGAGCGGTAGCGGTGAGGATGATACCATGACCTAGCGAAGATGACGTCGACGTCGTAGCAAACGCTATTGAAGATCATGTCGTTCCTCGACTTCCGGATAACCCAACAGAGCGGTAGCGGTGGGGTGATGCCATGACCTAGCGAAGGTGATGCCAACATCGTAGCAGACGTGTCATTCCTCAACTTCTAGACAAGTCGAATACAAGAGGACCGGTTTAGATATGAGCAAGCATTTATGTCGAGGCTCATTCCAATCTGATGCAAGCACACTATTTACATGCTTAAATTGTTGTATCATGCACTTGTTTGAGGCAAATTGCTAAATAGCATTTCTGTCAAAGAATTTATCATATAAGCAAAAAAGAAAATGACTGTTTTATTCTAAGCACCTCACAAAACACGTGCAATGCACATACACATATACTTGGACCTCTAAAAGTCCAAATCAGGACACCTGTTTTTCTTGATGTCCATAACAAGGATGTGAATTATATTAGGGAAAAGTATATTTTTTGTCCTTGAATTCTTTCGAAAGTATAGAAATGGTCCCTCGACTCCATAACCAGCAACACTTAGTCCCTCAACTTTTGAAACCGGATAAGTTTAGTCCCTTGTCTCCCTTAGGGTGGTTTTCTTCTTATGCAAAGTGGTTTTTGACTCAAACACGTGCACGGAAGGTGCTCAGTGTAATCTCATCGAGCGGCAGTGCACGTTGGAGATGGCACACTCAAGCAGGGCGTGCCAACGGTGCCCGCAGTGTGCGCAATGAGCGAATACGGCGGCAGATGCAGCTGGCGCGGCGCGGCTCGGTGCGCGACGGCCGGCGGCTCCATGATGAGGCTGATGAACGACGACCTGTACAGGATGCCCTTCTGGTGTTTGTTGCCGAGGTGGTAGCTGCTGGAGTGTTGGAGGCAGGGTCCCAAAGCTGCTCTTTCGCTCTTGTCACTGCCATCGCAGGAGCTTGTGCACGAACCCTTGAGTCTGCCCGCTCGTGCGGGTCCTCATAAAAGCAAGGTCTGCACTTACTGTTCTTCAGCTCATGTTGAGCTTGGGCTTTACATGGCTGTACTTGGGATGGATGGAGGGGCACCAGCGTGACGCCTTACAGGGGACGGTGATCACGAGCTCCTGCAAGGAGCCAGTGCACATGCAAGACAGGTCGGCAGCAATAATCAACAGAACGAGACGGCGACTGTGTACGGTAGTGGAAGGTGGGCGCGCGATCTCGCCGGAGCTCTAGTTCCCTGCACGTCCGCGTCCCAAGTTCCATGGCGCCTCTTCATGATTCGGTCCTGTGGCCTGGGCATCTAACGCGGCGGAACCGCTTGCTTCTGCTACTCGGCCGGCGCACGTTGGGACTGGCCATTGTCAATGTGGCCAGCGACAGCAGTCTCGGCATGCCGCCTACGCGATAACGTTGCTGCTGTCGAAGTGCGACATGCCATAGACTCTGCAGTTGTAGCATACGGTGCGTGGTGGGAATTTGCTTGGTGTCGGTGCACTGGGTGGCAGCTATAGCACACTGCCGCTTAATGAGCATTATACCAAGCACCTTCCGTGCACTTGTCGGAGTTAAAAACCACCCCATGTCACCAGAAAACCACTCTAACTAACGTAAGGGACTGAACTTTTCTGGTTTTAAAAGTTAAGGGACTACATTTTGCTGGTTTTGAAGTTGAAAGACCATTTCTATACTTTCGAAAGAGTTGAGGGACGAAAAATATATTTCTTCCATTATATTATATAGTGGCACCCATACCACCAACCAGTTATGCGTCTTTCCCCATCTTTCCTTGTTGAGAGGCCATCTAGCTAATCTAATCTCAAGAGTCTAAGACATGTGACATCCCAATAGATTTTTGTGTCATATGCCCCTGATGACAGTCGTAAACAATAATTAGGGTGTCCCCTCTTTTATTTGAGGGAAAGGGTGTCCTCATAGATCACTCATGGCAGCATGAAAAAATTAATATAATAGTAATAATAAAAAACTAATGGCAGCATGCCATTGTGTTTGGTCAAAGATCCTTGATTTTCTTCTGGAAATGAAAGCGACTTATTCCTGCAATCCGAACTCTCTACACCTTTCCCTTTTAATGACATTGACTGCATGGATCGATGCATGACCCACATTGCTTTGAGAACCTCGATGCTCCAATATTGTTGCTACCTAAGTACTCCCTCATCACTCTACTAATCCGACTTAACCTTGACAAAAAAAAGCAACTGAACTACATCTTGAGATGTTAATTACAGTGCGGCATGAATTTTAGCAGGCGCGGTGCTTTTCATTACCATTGCAGGCGACATAAACAAGGGTAGGATGCACATCTTTCTGGATAATATACATACCGTAGCATGTTCAAGTATCAAATCTTGTGGGCTTTTTTTTTTCTCTTTTGAAATGGGCAAGCACTTAAACGAACAATATGCGCATATGATACTAGGGCCGTCAAATCCATTATCCTGAATATATTCTTTTACAAACTAGATGGATATGGTACTGAAAATAGTTCCTTTTAGAGAAAAGATGCATTATTGATACTCGACACGTAGCCGTAGTAGCCTAGAGGATTGCATGGTGATGTCTATTACGCAACTTTATCCTTGTAGACGTTGTTGGACCTTCAAGTGCAGAATTTTGTAGAACAGTAGCAATTTTCCTTCAAGTGGATGACCTAAGGTTTATCAATCTGTGGGAGGCGTAGGATGAAGGTAGTCTCTCTCAAGCAACCCTGCAACCAAATAACAAAGAGTCTCTTGTTCCCCAACACACCCAATACAATAGTAAGTTGTATAGGTGCACTAGTTCAGCGAAGAGATGATGAATATAAATGCAATATGGATGGTAGATATAGATTTTTGTAATCCGAAAATATAAAAACAACAAGATAGTAGATGATAAAAGTGAGCGAAAACGGTATTGCAATGCTTCGAAACAAGGCCTAGGGTTCATACTTTTACTAGTGCAAGTTCTCAACAATGATAACATAATTAGATCATATAACAATCCCTCAACGTGCAACAAAGAGTCACTCCAAAGTAACTAATAGCGGACAGTAAACGAAGAGAATATTATAGGGTACAAAACCACCTCAAAGTTATTCTTTCTGATCGATCTATTGGGCTATTCCTATAAGTGTCATAAACAGCTCTAGAGTTTGTGCTAAAATAACACCTTAAGACATATTGCTCAGATTCATCCATTCAAACCAACACAAAGAACTTCAAAGAGTGCCCCAAAGTTTCTACCGGAGAGTCAAGACGAAAACATGTGCCAACCCCTATGCATAAGTTCACAAGGTCACAGAACCCACAAGTTGATCACCAAACATACATCAAGTAGGCCACGTGAATATCCTATTGTCATCAAAAATAAACACATGCAAGACATACATCAAGTTTTCTCAAATCCTTAAAGACTCAATTTGATAAGATAACTTCAAAGGAAAACTCAATCCATTACAAGAAGGTAGAGGGGGAGAAATATCATAAGATCCAACTATAATAGCAAAGCTCGTGGTACATCAAGATCGTGCCATATCAAAAACACGAGAGAGAGAGAGAGAGAGAGAGAGAGAGAGAGAGAGATCAAACACATAGCTATTGGTACATACCCTTAGCCCCGAGGGTGAACTAGTCCCTCCTCGTAATGGAGAGCGCCGGGATGATGAAGATGGCCATCGGTGATGGATTCCCCCTCTGGCAGGGTGCAGGAACGGGGTCCCGATTGATTTTTGGTGGTTACAGAGGCTTGCAGCGGCGGAACTCCCGAT